GGCCTCCCAGAGTGCTAGGATTACAGGCGTGAGCCACCGCGCCCGGCCTCTAAGGTAGAGTTTTTAAAACAACCAACAACCCAATGGGTTAAAAAATAATAAATGTTATTATTATTCAGGGGATGAAAACCAGCATTTTAAAAAAATTACAAGAGAATTAAGGAATATCACCACACTTAGTGATAGAAGGTAAACACTGAGGCATGGAATGCGTTTCTATTCAGAGTCTGCATTTACATATAGGAGAACGGGGTTACTCGGGCCAAGGGCAGGGAGGGCTGCAGACACTGGCCTAACATACGCCAAGATCAAACCACTCTGCATGTCCACAAGCCCCAGGAAATCCCTTACTTGTCCCACTGTATCTTTTACACTTCTTGCACAAAGAGTTCAAGGTCCAAGAACCACATACAAAAGAGGATATCACACTTGCAAAAATATTCACAGTTGCCAGAGAAAGATCCTTCCAAAAATTCCAACTGACCCAGGTTAAGATTCAGGATGCTTCCAGTGGTGGATGTTTTGTCCGTTTTCGTTGTGATTGGAGTTGACGGTTGAGGAGAGAAAGGTTTCGGGCTGTCAGAGAGACTCCCCGCTTGTCCTGTCTTTGTAGAGGTTGGTGAAGCTGAAAAAGTATGTCATTGTTAAAAGACAGATTTTACAAATAAACAAACAAGTAAAACTTGTAGGTGTGGGGTAGGGAGGGAACAGAGAAATTATGAAATTATATTTGATTTCAATAAGGCCACCGCAGCCTCACACATGGGGTGGGACAGGGAGGGCTGGCCGTTTATTTCAAGCAAAGGGCTTTAACTCGACGTTAAACCATTAAAGCCACAAAGGAAGAAGGCCTCACTAGTTATTCTATTAAGCACAAAGCTCTAAGACAAATCGGCTAAGCTGCCACTGAAATTGGTTTGACCCATTCACGGGTATAAATCTCAAAATAAACAGCGATTAAAGCAGCCCCGCAGAGTCCAGATGCGGAGACCCGGAGCCAGGCTTACAGCGGCACGGCATCTGTCTGGGAGGAGACGCCGCCGCGGCTCGCACGCGGCCTCTGCACCTGCCAGTGACCAACGCAGCCCCTGGGAAATCTCCAGCTCCCATTTCAAAGGTTCTCAAGGCTGCATGAAGCCAAACTCAGTACCAGATGGCGTGAAGGAGACGTTGGAAAATTATCTCCCTCTTTATTGTGTTCCGAACTTTTTTACAAGAGGACAGGGAATCGCACCTATGCCTGAGGCTTTTAAAAATACCTTAGAACTACCCACAACCTGCTTCTCAGCTTCACTGCACTGGATGAGAGGAAGAAGAACAGGTAACCAAACCATTTATCTTAACAAAACAAGCTTTTGGAGGGGCCAACAGAGCCTCCTAAAGACCTTTCCCATCCTGCCTGCCGCTTTGCCCTCAGCAATCCGCATTATTGGGGCCCTCCTGTTAACACTTCCTGGGCCCATTTAAAAACAACTGGGGGCCGGTCGTGGTGGCCTGTAATCCTAGCACTCTGGGAGGCCGAGGTGGAAGGATTGCTCAAGGTCAGGAGTTCAAGACCAGCCTGAGCAAGAGTGAGACCCGGTCTCTACTAAAAATAGAAAGAAATTAACTGGACAACTAAAAATATATAGAAAAAAATTAGCCGGGCATAGTGGCGCATGTAGTCCCAGCTACTCGGGAGGCTGAGGCAGAGCCCAGGAGTTTGAGGTTGCTGTGAGCTAGGCTGACGCCACGGCACTCTAGCCTGGGCAACAGAGCAAGACTCTGTCTCAAAAAAAAAAAAAAAAAAAAACAACTGGGACTAAACACACGACTGACAACAAAAAGGCCAGCTCTCCTGTGATGTGCCAGAGACGTTCCAAGGTGATCTGGTCCTTGAGAGAAATACACTGATGGCAAATTAGGGTTAGAAATCACTATGCCCCTGGGAGCCTCAAAAGCAATAGGACCCATGGGTGGGCGCTTGCCTCAGTTTTCTCACCTGCCAAATGGGAACACTCAGAATGAGGGTTCGATGGGTTAACACTCGCGCACCAACTCAGCCAGTCAATAGACGTGAGCTCGTCTTAGCTCCCAGGCCAGGCCTGCCAACATCATTTTTAATGCAATATAGTGGGAAAGCCTCCAGACATAAAGAGGCCTGGATTCAAGCGTGGAGCAGGAGCCAGACACTGTGGATTCTAGTCCTGGCTCAGCTGCTGACGTGCTGCGTAACCTTGGGCAAGTTACTGTCACCTCTGCATCTTTTTCCTGGCAGCGGCGGATACTAATTACATGATGCGAAGGGATGAGGAAAGTACTTACGCCTCATCAGGTTGTTGTGAGGATTAAATCAGTCAGTCAGTCACCTGAAGGGTGCCTGGCATCTAGTGAGCACTCTGCTAATTGTACACCACGATTGCAGCATTATTTTCTATTTCCCCAGCAACCTGTAGGACTGTGGTTTCATCACTCGAACCCCGCTGCTCCGGCACAGTGGTTCTGCTCCCCAGGGCACGGCGGGCAATGCGTGCACACGTTTTTAGGTTGCCACACGAGGGGAGTGGGATTGCTACTGGCATCTTGTAGGTAGAGACCAGGGACGCTGCTGAACCTTCTACGATGTGCAGAACGGCCCCCAAAGAAAGACGCATCTGGCCCCAAATGTCAACAGAGCTGAAACTGAGAGACCCACATAGGAATGAAGCAGGGGTGCATGTGGGAGGCCTATTCCTCATGTGGAAATGAGAAGGGGTGAGGACTAGCTAAACTATGTCATTTGGTGCCTAGTAAGTGCTCAATAAACATAAATTATTTTAAGAATTAAGTTTAGAAAAATAAATAAATTAAACCAGTCCGACTGCCAGGATTCATAGACTGCCTGGCACAGCACGTGGCAGGCAACATGCCTTCAGCCGGGGGCTATTATTATTACTGTTACTACCACTGGTTCTGTGACAAGCAGAATGCAAGTGCTTGTTACACGAAGAAACAACTGGTTTCCCCTAGAGATGGGTCAGGCTCACTCTCCACTCCACAGGGAAAGGGGAGGGCCCACCCTCCCAGGCATCTGCGGCTACAAAGCTTCATGTAATCAGGGAAGAGGACACACTCCAGGGCCACCTAGCAACCTATGAGTCCCACACTGCAAACTCTTCTCTGCATCTCCCCGAGAAACAGATCTCCTCTGCCCACTCCACATGCCACCTGTCCCACCTCCCTAATCTGTGAATACATCTGTACCTGCCCTGTCCTCCCAATTCAGTTAACTTCCCCACCTGGTGGTTCAAAGGCAAACAAACACACCTGGATTCCTCCATCGCTCTCTTGCCTCAACTTACCCAACTCTTCAGCAAGGCCTCTGCACTCCACTTCCTACATATGCCCCAAATCTCTCCACTGAGCTCCATCGCCACGGCTGTCACCCTAGTCCCTGCACTCTCAGCGGGGATATTACAACCCCTAGAAGGCAAAAAGTGATTCTTACGGGGTGAAAAAATCTCACTACCCCTCTCATGTATAAAGTACACACCTATATGCAGTACATAAACAGATACCAATACTTTTGGATTTCATGGGAGTCCACTCTTGGGTATATACCCAAAAGAGCTGAAAACAGGTACTCAAACAAATCTTTCGACACAAATGTTCACAGCGGCACTACTCATACGCCACAGCACCGTTTCCGGAGCAGAACCCTCGAACACTGAAATCGCATCACTCCACCACCAGAACCATCCACACACGTCCTATTCCCCAGAATAAAATCCAACCTTTCTTTGCCTCCCGGAATCTCCAGCCACACTGACCTTCATGCTCTCCTGGAAGGTCAAGCCTCTTCCCACCTCAAGCCTGAGGCTGGGCCCGAGGTTCCCGGGGAAGGCTCCCCACCCCGCCCCAGACCACCCTGGCTGGTACTCCTCCATGTCCAGGCCCCAGCTCCAACGTCACCTCCCCAGAACCCCTCCCCTGTTGGCCCATCCAACATGGCCGAGGTGTCTGTTGTCCACCGTCTTCTCACGCCATGAGAAAGTCGGCTCCAGGACAGTAGCATCCTTGCTGGCCACCAGGCATCCAGGACGCTGCCTGACACATCCCAGGTGCCTAACACAGTTACTGAATGAGCAAGTATGTGAAATAATTAACTGAAGAATGAGGTCTCCATTTCTCTTCTCATTACTGTGGTCAAGATAAGCCATAAAGAAATGATCATGGCTACCAAAACAAAATCTTTTTCGTATGAAAATACCAAGTTAAACAATCTGCTCAATGTTACGCAGCTACTAAAAGCGAAGTGTGCTAAGAGAGTCATACCCCAGAGGAGAGGTCTGACTAAGCAGCTGCCAGAAAAATACAAATGGTCAATAAACACGTGCAGATGACTCAGCTCGACATAAACAGATGCAGACCCAGGTAATGGAGATAGATATGGAGATACAAATACATAGATAATAGATACAGGTACATAGATATGGACATACAGATATATATTAATAAATACAGCCTTTTTACCTGAATGCTAAACTTGGTTCAAAAAGAACACCTAGTGCTGAGGGTAGGTGAAAAAAGAGGAGCATTCGTACAAATCATAAAACCTTTTATTACATGTGGGTGCTACTGACATTATCCAAAATTGAAGAGTACAGAATACACAGACCCCAAAGCTCCACTGCTAGGAACTCGCCCCACGATGCATTTGTAGAAGTGTCCCCACCACAGACTATATACACAAGAAGGTGCCCTGCCAGTATCGAAATAGCCAAAGAACGAAAGATGGTTTATAAACGCCAATTAATTGGAGACTGGCTAAATAAATTATGGCACAAATATCACATCATCCTTTAAAAGAAAGGTACGCCAGTCTGAGCAGGAGTGAGACCCCGTCTCTACTAAAAATATAAAAATCAGCCCGGCATCGTGGTGTGCGCCTGTAGTCCCAGCTACCAGGGAGGCTGAGGCAGGAGGATCGCTTGAGCCCGGGCGTTTGAGGTTGCTGTGAGCTAGGCTGATGCCAGGGCACTCTAGCCTGGGCAACAGACCAAGACTCTGTCTCAAAAAATAAAAATTAAAAATATAAATATAAAAAAAGGTGCAAATCTGTATGATTCGACAAGAAATGGTCTCGACAAAACATGAGTGGGGAAAAAAAGAGAAAGATAAAATCAGGTGTATATAGAAAGCCTCCATGTATGTAAATATTTTTTAAAAGCACACACATATCTCTGAGTGTACATATACTTCTGTAAAAGGTTAGTACTGGTAACCTTTGGAGAGAAACTATTAATAGAACTCAGAATATGAGATTAAAAAGACTTTTTATCTTTTATTTTATACCTTTCTATACTATTGTAACATTGCTGTTGGGTTTTCTTGTTTAATCATATGCATGGTACCACTTCCCACTTAAAAAAAAAAAAAGCCAACTAGAGGTACTTAGATTATAGGCCATTTTGCCCTTTTTGAATACTTTTGTGATTTTGCTGGAGAATAAACCTTTAAAACAGGTGCAAAAATGTATTTATTAACATGGAAAATTGTAACTAAAGGGAGAGGAATTCTGTAATTATGTGACTCCAATGAGGTTCAATGGATATTTTCTTTAAAATTTTTATTCTGGTTTTATATGTGGCCATCTACAGGAACATG